CTCCGTCAGAATGGGAGGAGGCGGAGATGAGGTGGAGCTGGCGGGCGGAGCATCCACCGGAGTTGAGAAGTCGATCAAAAGCTGCAAAAAGGGGGTAGCTAGCAGAGACTGTTGAGGAAGGGAGAGGGCAGGCTAGCAGAGATTGTTGAGGAACAGGAGGGGACAGGCTAGCCGAATTCCTTTGAAAACGCCGCTCACAATTTCCTCTTCCACCTCCGGCTCGCTGGTCATCGTCGTCGTGGTGGTGTTGGTGGCGGGCGACACGGACGTGCTGGCGGAAATGATGGGCAGGGCCTGGAAATGGATTTTAAGGGGGCGTGACAGGTGGTTTAGGGTTAAGATCAGGCTTGGGCTTCGGCTTACCTCGTTGAACTTGGCCAAGGCGGTGGTAGTGGGGGGTCTGGGTGACCGCGTTGAGGTTGTCGTTCGTCTTCGGGGATTCGGGAGCAGGAGGTCGAGTCGATCTGTTTTGGGCTAAAAACACAAACTATAGAAGAGAGAGAAAGAGAGAGAGAGAGAGAGAGAGAGAGAGAGAGAGAGGGTGAGAGTGCGAGAGAGAACGCAAACTCACCATTCTGCCGACGCCGCAACGCATCATGGTACGCGCCGCGGTGCGCGGCGAGCAGCTGCCGCAGCCCCGGCACAACGTAGTCCATCGGGTCGGGCGCCGTGTAGCCGTGCAGATGGGGAGAGTCCTTAGAAAAGGCAGACTAGCAGAGATTCTTTGCCGAATGGGGGCGGGCTAGCAGTGACCATTGAGGAGCTCTTCTCACCTTCCACAACGGCAGCCGGGCCAGGTGGTCGATGGAACGGTAGTGGAGCGGGGACTCGAGCTCGAGCTCGAGCCCGAGCCGCGGCTCGCGTCTCGGCCAGAGCTGGGCGGGGGGTGGGGCTTGCTAAAAGACATTTGCTTCCAAAATGGTCTCTGCTAGCCTGCCCTGGAAATCGCGTCAAAACCTACCACTTCCGGCTCCGGCGGAATAGAGCTGGGCAGGCTGACGGCTCCGGCACTGACCGTTGGGGAGCCGATGATGCGGGTTGGGGTGTCGGCGACGTCAGCTTCTGAAAGTTGTGATTTCTTCAGCAATCTCTGCTAGCCTGCCCTCTCCTCTTCCTCAACAATCTCTGCTAGCCTGCCCTCTCCTCTTCCTCAACAATCTCTGCTAGCCTGCCCTCTCCTCTTCCTCAACAATCTCTGCTAGCCTGCCCTCTCCTCTTCCTCAACAATCTCTGCTAGCCTGCCCTCTCCTCTTCCTCAACAATCTCTGCTAGCCTGCCCCTCTCCTCTTCCTCAACAACTTCTGCTAGCCTGCCCTCTCCTCTTCCTCAACAATCTCTGCTAGCCTGCCCTCTCCTCTTCCTCAACAATCTCTGCTAGCCTGCCCTCTCCTCTTCCTCAACAATCCCTGCTAGCCTGCCCTCTCCTCTTCCTCAACAATCTCTGCTAGCCTGCCCTCTCCTCTTCCTCAACAGTCTCTGCTAGCCTGCCCTCTCCTCTTCCTCAACAATCTCTGCTAGCCTGCCCTCTCCTCTTCCTCAACAACCTCTGCTAGCCTGCCCTCTCCTCTTCCTCAACAATCTCTGCTAGCCTGCCCTCTCCTCTTCCTCAACAATCTCTGCTAGCCTGCCCCTCTCCTCTTCCCTCAACAACCTGCTAGCCTGCCCTCTCCTCTTCCTCAACAATCTCTGCTAGCCTGCCCTCTCCCTCTTCCTCAACAATCTCTGCTAGCCTGCCCTCTCCCTCTTCCTCAACAATCTCTGCTAGCCTGCCCTCTCCTCTTCCTCAACAATCTCTGCTAGCCTGCCCTCTCCTCTTCCTCAACAATCTCTGCTAGCCTGCCCTCTTCAAGGCCGCTCACCCGGCTGCTCGAAGGCGTATTCGATCAGCGCCTGCACCGATTCGACGTGGGGGAAGCGTTGCGTGACAGTTTTTGCCTAAAAATAATTTTTAAAGGACCAGTGAAGACAAATCCATAGAAAAACCACTCAAAAATTTCAAAATTGAATACCTTCTCCCATCCCAGAATCGCGGCCACCTGGTTGAACACTTCTTTGGCGCGGTTGGGGGCTGAAAAGTGGAAGTTTGGGGGGGGGGGGGGGAGTGTCCTCAAGAAGCTCTGCTAGCTTGCCTCGAAAATGAAAAACGTAAATTTAAAAAATATATATAGAAATTCAGGAATAAAAATCAAGAATTTACTGAGTGGCTGCCGCTCCGTGGCGCTGTCGGCAATCGGCTGGCTAGGCGGAGAGACGGACTAAAATTGTAGAATTTCGACTATAAACTTTTCTTTTAAAATCAGTGCTTAAAACCGGGAGTAAAATTTATTAAAAAACTGGTTTAATTCGTTAAAAATGCAAACTAGAAACTACAAAAATTTACCACGTATTGGGAGCGGCGCGCGTGGGCTCCCGGCGGGTTGTTGTGCTAAAAAAACAGGAATTTTTTCTAGAATTACCCATTAAATTAACAGAACGTATTTTAATGTTTTTTTAGTGAAATAAAACGATATTTCAGTAGAAAACTATCTTAAAACTTCAAAAATTCCTCAAAAAGTCGAAATTTTGAGCAAAAATATAACAACATAAGATTTTACTACAAAACAAAAAAATAATATCGTTTTTGCACAAAAATATTGTGCAAAAACGATATTATTTTTTTGTTTTGTAGTAAAATCTTGGTTTTCGGTACAAAAAGGCCAAAATTCCGCGCGGCTCCAAACTACAAACCGGGGCCACGCTGCCGTCGAGCAGGTCGTTGTGGGGCACCTGGCGGAACGGGCCGTGAGTCGAGGTCCCGCCGCGCCACTCGTAGTACGCGTCGGAGCTGAACGGAAGAAATTGTGGGGTACGGTAGGCTTGGCTTAAGCTTAGGCTTAGGCTTGGCTTGGGCTTGGCTTAGGCTTGGCTTAGGCTTAGGTTAGGCTTAGGCTTAGGCTTAGGCTTAGGCTTAGGCTTAGGCTTAGGCTTAGGCTTAGGCTTAGGCTAAGCTAGGCTTGGGCCTAGGCTTAGGCTAGGCTTAGGCTTAGGCTTGGGCTTAGGCTTAGGCTTAGGCTTAGGCTTAGGCTTAGGCTTAGGCTTGGCTTGGGCTAGGCTTAAACTCTCCAAAACCCACTGCTGATCGTAGCGGCGCTCGTAGACGGGCTGCGCTCGCACGCCGCAATCGCCCGGGTGGTGGCAGTTGCGGCAGCAGGGAGAAGCGCTGAAAATGGGCAGGATAGCAGAGATCCTTTAGGACGTAGGCCCTGCGAGGGCAGGCTAGCAGAGACAATTTGCGGAAGTAGCGTACCCAGAATTGGAGTATTCGCGCGGAGGCTGCCACGGCCCACAGCTCGGCGCCATCTAAATTTAAGTGGGTTAGATTTAAGCAAAAATTTCCCTAATTCCGCCGAACAAACTACAGGGTGTCCCAAAAAAAAAGACACCGGCCGCATTTCTCTATTTCACGTCCGATCAACCTGAAATTTTGATAGAGGTAGCGAAGCCACTTCCATGAACACAGAAAGTTTCAGCCCCACCGGTCAGCGGGTTTTAAAGTTATAACGAAAATACTTTTTATTTTTTATTGAATATGGGGACCTCTGCAATTTTGCATCAAAATGTGCGTAATTTTGTGATTTACGAGCTGATTTTGCATAATTTTTGCCGAAAAAGGCCATTTGCTGTTTTGCGCTTCGTAAATACGATTGCGCATGACAAACAAAGTACCGTGAAAACAACAGTTTTTTGAGCACTCAAGCACATTTTATTGAAGTTTTGGTCAGTTGGACCTGCCTTGGACTCGACCCAGCGTTCGACCAGCTCCAAATTAATGCTTAAATTAAAATCGAGGCTTTAAATCTATGCGTAAGCCGAAAAATAAATTAAAACAACCGGTGAACGTATGTTACAATACTGGTTTCTTATATCTGACGCTTTTGTGGGTCATTTTTACTTCCCATGCGCAATCGTATTTACGAAGCGCAAAACAGCAAATGGCCTTTTTCGGCAAAAATTATGCAAAATCAGCTCGTAAATCACAAAATTACGCACATTTTTGATGCAAATTGCAGAGGTCCCCATATTAAATAAAAAATAAAAAGTATTTTCGTTATAACTTTAAAACCCGCTGACCGGTGGGGCTGAAACTTTCTGTGTTCATGGGAAATTGGCTTCGCTACCTCTATGCAAAATTTCAGGTTGATCGGACGTGAAATAGAGAAATGCGGCCGGTGTCTTTTTTTTTGGGACACCCTGTACAAGCCACCAAAACGCACCCCGGGACGTCTCATGTAGCCGCCACCACCACCGCAGCCGCCGCGTTGATATCCCGGCTGTTGGTTGGGGTATCGAGGCACGGCCGAGTGGTGCCCAGAGTAGGCTTCTGGAATCGTTTAAAACATTTTACAAGGCTTGGCAGGTTAGCAGAGATCATTTAGGAAGCGCATGTCAGCCTTACCAGTTGCATATCGCTGCTGGCTGCCGGGGCGCTGGCCGTAGCGCAGCGGCGAGGTCGCGTCGCGTCCGTATTCGGAGCCGTCCTCTTGGTGCAGCCCGCGGGATGAGTCGCCGGGATCGCTGAATTTCCTCAAATGTCTCGACTAGCTTGACCAAGCGGGCACAAGGCAAGCTAGCAGAGATTGTTGAGCAAGAGGAGAGGGCAGGCTAGCAGAGATTGTTGAGGAAGAGGAGAGGGCAGGCTAGCAGAGATTGTTGAGGAGACGGACTCGGATCTGCGGTAGTGACGCCGCTCTTGGGCTTGGAGGCGTTCCTCGGGAGTGAGGAGCTCGAGCGGGCGGATCTTGAGGTGCAGCGAGGTGGCCGGGCGGATCGGGAGAGCCAACTGGAACATGGAGCATGAAAGACAGAGAGCGAGAGTGCGAAAGAGAGATAGAGAGAGAGCGAGAGAGGGAAAGATATAGAGACAGCTCAATCACCATGTCCAACGGGGTCTTCGGGGTGAAGTCGGCGAGCTTTCCGGCAAGGAGCGTCCAGGCGGCTGAAAATTAGCGTTGGGCGGGCTAGCAGGGATTCTTGAGGAACGGCAAAAAAATGTAATTCCAAACTTCCCAACCCTTATTCGGGACGATGGCGGTGAGACGTTGAACCCAGATTCGCTGGTCGGAGAGGCGCATCTGGAAAAGAGGCATCAAAAACAGCTACCAATTAGACTTCACGCTACAAGCTACAACTCCCATACCTGATGATGCGAGCAGCGGCCCCACTCGACGTCGCTGGGAGGGCAGCGAAGGGTGGTCTATGGAGATTCGGTTCTTGTGCATTATCGTGGGGGGGGGCTGCGGATTGCTCCCCTTGATAACCCCCCCCCCCGATAACGGAAAAGAACCGAAAATACCAACGTTTAAAGTGGGTCCATTCCGGCCCAGCGGCCCGTCCATCGGAAAGATCAGGTCGTCCCCGTTGAACGCCGGCATCAGAAGCCTAGAAAATGGCTTAGGCTTGGGCTTAGGCTAAGGCTTAGGCATAGGATCTGGCTTAGACTTTGCTTAGGTCCCTTCAACCGACTGAAAAACCCACTTTTTCTCGATCGTCTTGTCGAGGTTGGGCAGCTCGTCGAGGATGGCGTGCATCTGGCTGCGGGCCACCACGCAGCCGCCCGTCTCCCGGGCCCTCGTCGCCAACATCCGGTTCACCTCCACGTACTTGTCGGGGCCAAAGCCTGAAAAACGCGGCTTCAAAGGATCTCTGCTAGCCTGCCCGGCTCCTGAAAAATCTCCGCTAGCCCGCCCACCAGGCGTGAATTCGATGATGGGTTCCAGCCGGAAGAGGTGCATCAACTCCGTCCAGTTCGAGCTCTTGTCGGCGTAGACCTTGAAGCAGTGCGGGAGCAGGGCGACCGCCTGAAGAAGTTCAAATGGTTTCTGCCAGGTTACCGTATTCCTCAAAAATCTCTGCTAGCCTGCCCTCTCCTCTTCCTCAACAATCTCTGCTAGCCTGCCCTCTCCTCTTCCTCAACAATTTCTGCTAGCCTGCCCTCTCCTCTTCCTCAACAATTTCTGCTAGCCTGCCCTCTCCTCTTCCTCAACAATCTCTGCTAGCCTGCCCTCTCCTCTTCCTCAACAATTTCTGTTAGCCTGCCCCTCTCCTCTTCCTCAACAATCTCTGCTAGCCTGCCCTCTCTCTCTTCCTCAACAATCTCTGCTAGCCTGCCCTCTCCTCTTCCTCAACAATCTCTGCTAGCCTGCCGGCTCCTCTTCCTCAACAATCTCTGCTAGCCTGCCCTCTCCACTTCCCTCAACAATCTCTGCTAGCCTGCCCTCTCCTCTTCCTCAACAATCCCTGCTAGCCTGCCCTCTCCTCTTCCTCAACAATCTCTGCTAGCCTGCCCTCTCCTCTTCCTCAACAACCTCTGCCAGCCTGCCCTCTCCCTTCCTCAACACCCTGCTAGCCTGCCCCTCTCCTCTTCCTCAACAATCTCTGCTAGCCTGCCCTCTCCACTTCCCTCAACAATCTGCTAGCCTGCCCTCTCCTCTTCCTCAACAATCTCTGCTAGCCTGCCCTCTCCACTTCCTCAACAATCTCTGCTAGCCTGCCCTCTCCTCTTCCTCAACAATCTCTGCCAGCCTGCCCTCTTCTCTTCCTCAACAATCTCTGCTAGCCTGCCCTCTCCTCTTCCTCAACAATCTCTGCTAGCCTGCCCTCTCCTCTTCCTCAACAGTCTCTGCTAGCAACCTGGTGCCCTCTGGAGATGAAGTACCACAGCGCAATCGTCACTCCGCGAACGTGAAGCCGACGATCTCGATCCACTTGGTGATACCTAAAAAATATTTAGCGAGTTTAAAGGGACGGAGAAGTCTGAAATCCATGGCAAACTCACGCGAATCCAACTTCCACGGCATTAATGTAAACGGGGCGGAGGAGGACGTGCGGCTTTCGCTCGGAGAGGACGGTGCCGGACTCGTCGGCTGGAAAGAGAATATTTTCATAGTGTTAACGAGCCACTATTTCTGACAAGTTTTTTATTTTGTGGCTACTGTATCTCGTAAGGGCTATTGTTTTAAATGCAGCGTTTTTCATGACCGGGAATTTTTGGAAATTTCGAAATCGATTTAGTTGCTGTGTTTTTCGAGACCTTTTGCTTTTTTGCCTATTCTACCTTATTTCTCGGGACGAATTTTTTTAAAACACATTTCGCCATCCAGACACTGACTTCAGAATTTTCTAAAATTTTTCTATGGATTTTTTCAGTTGTCACGTGGGCCCCCCGGGGCCCAGATTTCAATCGCCCATCATTAGCGACAGACAAAAATTCGTCTAGCCATGAAATGAACCCGGAAAATTATGAATTCATGGCAAAACGTCAACCTGTGATGATTTCCGGCTTTTTTCTAAATGTCTGTCGAGCTGGGGGAATAAAAGGACGGAATTCTGGATAGCAACCAAATTCTTCGCCCGTTTTTTGTTGTAAGAAGCATGATAGGCCAGCTGAGACAATTTGAGGATCCTGAGGGCAGGCTAGCAGCGATCTTGAAGGAAATCGGGCAATTCTACCAGGCAGGTTAGCAACGATTCTTGAGGATTATGGAAACTTCGAAGAAAAACCCCTTAAAATGCTCTTCAAACTTTTTATTTATTTTTTTATTCGCCTAGGTCGGAAAATTTCCTCAAAAATCTCTGCCCACACGTTTCCTCACTTCCTAATCCCTTTAAAAATTTGAGAAAATCTGTCCCACCAGGTCCGGATTATCAGGCTAATCCGGCAATTCACCGGAAATGCCCTGAAGGCACGTGAGAATTGTTCTCTCTCTCACTCTCTCACTCTCACTCTATCACTCTCTCTCTCTCGCTCTCTCGCTCTCTCGCTCTCTTTCTCCCTCTCTCTCACTCTCTCACTCTCTATCTCTCTCTCCAACGATAATCCCCCAACACCCTCAAAAACTTTAATCATCCCCCGAACAAGTGTCCCGCACTTTGTTTTTGATGCGATTTAGGGAACCCTAGCGGAAGTGTTACCGTAACCCCCAGGGAACCGTTTTGGGATCCGCCCACGAGACGCTAATCTCCCGCAAAAACTTTTGTATTATTACTTCTAGGGATTTGCGGATTGGGGCCGATTGTCCTGGCTATTTTTTGAGGGGAGCTACAGGCTACAATGCTTTTTATGCAGGATTTTTTTAGGTGGCAGAGATCCTCAGGAATCTCTGCTAGCCTGCCCCAGGAGGCTTTAGAATTTCTCAAATTGTCTCGGCTAGCCTGCCTGCTAGTCAGCCAGTTATCTATATGCGCTGATACAAATTCCGCAAGGAGACCTTATTTAGGTACTTTTGCATTATCAGGCGGGAGCGAATTTTTGCTTCAAACGGTCGAGAAAAAGTAGAAATTAGTAATACATTTATTTAATGCCATTTTTAGTAAAATCCGACCATATTTTAAAGCGAAAAACAATTTCTAAAAGTTCAAAATTATTCAAATTCGACATTTTGCGCAAGAATTCAACGTCTTTGTTCGAAAATCGATTTTTTTTAAACATGGGATTTCCGTAAATTTTCCGAATTTCCATTATTTCGCGCGTTTCCGCAAGTTGTCTCTGCTGGCCTGCCTCGGGCGCCGGAAACGCCTATTCCGCCTCAACTCTATTTCCGTGTCCGTGTCGCTCCAATAAACGGGGGCTGTTTAAAATTCGACCCCCCCCCCCCGCAGGGCTCAACAAGACTTTTCGCCAGCCCTCGAAAGTTAATTAGCCAACCGTTGCATTTGTTTGCATTTCCGGGCAGGCCGGGGAACGCTTCAGTTCTCAACCGGAAACACGAGCCAATTTTCCACGCGCAACTTTTAAAAATTTGCGTAAAATCTGGAGCTTTCGAGTTATCGGGGGGGGGGAGGGGATTTTCCACAAAATTATAGTTTTCTTTGTATCTAGAAATAAATCGCATCGTTGTAGTAACCCTTTTAATAGTGTTTTGGTAAAATTTAGCTATCTTTAAAGCAGAAAAACTTTCTAAAAAATGCAAATAATTGTCAATTCGATATTTTTTTGGTATGCTTTAATCAAAATTTGTAGAGTTTTTACGCTGAGGAATGGTAAGAAATCATTTAGAAACACGTCCACTATTTATATAAGAAAATGAGCTTCTCAATTTAAATTTGTCCCCCCCCCGATAATGCCAAAGCCACCACGAATTGTACTTCACGCCATAAAAGCTTTATCTGAACTCAAACTTTTTCCTCTTTAATTAATTGGCCTCAATTATTGGCTCAAAAAAATTTAAAAAAATTTGCATTGATAATTTGGTTGATTTGTATTTGTCCACAGATTTACATGTAAAAATTTACATTCTAAAGTTTTCATTTCAAAGTTTTATCCCTCAAAAATCGGGCCCAGACTGCCTCACCACTAGCAGAGAGCGGCTGCCCGTCGTCCCAGGAGTAGCCGAAGAATTGAGGGGGCGGAGACATCGGAGAATCGCTTTTTGTAGTTTCTTGTCGAGGTTGGGTAGAAAATGAGAAAATCTGAGGCTTTTTTGATCAGTATCAGCTAACCGGAAATCCGCTGGAAGATATGCAAATTTCTGCCGACTTTCGGTCAACTTCCGGTTGGCGCTGGACTCGAAAATCGATTCCCGGGGCAAGGCAGGCTAGCAGAGACTGGTGAGGAAGAGGAGAGGGCCGTCTAGCAGAGCTTTTTTCGCCAATTTCACTTCCACACCCCTTTAAAACCGGAGGTCCCTCTTCTCGACGATCGCTGGCATTTTCGAAAGATCAACCAGCCCCTGGAAGTATTTCAGGCTTCTGCTGACTTAAGGGGTTGGTAATTCAATCCGGTCGCCCCGAAAAAGGCCGTTCTAGTGGTCTGTCCCCACCCTCCCATCATCTTCATAACCGCTTACCCCTCCCTTGAAATTTTAGCCTTTCGCTGGGCCCCTAGCATTTTAGTCCCGTGGCGCTGGTAGAGCCGTTTTTGCAGAAACCCGGACGAAGTGACATTTGGTACGGACAGGTCCGAAATTCCGCCATGATCTGTGCTAGCCTGCCCAGGTTTCACATGCTCGAAAATGATGTTCGCACTTTACTTCATGTCCTCGCGCGCCCTCAATCTCTCTCTCTCTCTCTCTCTCTCTCTCTCTCTCTCTCTCTCTCTCTCTCTCTCTCTCTCTCTCTCTCTCGCGCCTCTCTCTCTCGCTCTCTCTCACTCTCTCTCTCTCTCTCTCTCTCTCCTCCTCCCCTCCCCCTCGCTCCCTTCTTTCCCGCTGTCCTTCACGCCTGCTCACTCTCTGCGCCTTCTCTGCCTCTCTTTACCCCTCTCTTCTTCGCTTGCTCTCTCGCTCTCTCTCCCTCTCACTTTTTCTAATTTTGGCTCCGAAATGATCACTGCTCCCATGCCCTGGTTTCCTAAAGCAGATCTGCTAACCCGCCTTCCATTTCAGAAACCTATTATCCTGCCGAGATTGCTCATTCCCCAAGGATCTCTGCTAGCTCCCCAATTCCCATCGCTGGCTAAGAGTCTCTGCTAGCATGCCCCGAACTCACCCAAATCCGCTAGTGTACCCTAACCATTTCACCACCCATAAAATCGGGCCGGTGACCTGAAAATAGTCTCGTATTCTCTGCACTCTACCATCGCTTCGCCGCATTCGGCAGCACGTCACTCGCTAGTAACCAAGGTGCTCTCGACTCCCCGAGCCAGAAACCAGAGCCGCCATGCGTATGCGTGCCCTCCCGGCTACGCGGGCCCACCACCACCCAATCACCCTAGAAGTTGTGCCGAAGAATATTTGAGCATTAGCATTCGATCTGGGGGCACACCCCGAAAAAAAAGTTGCCGAAACGGAAAAACTTGGATTTCAAATGCACACCCCCGCCTCGGCTTAGGGTTGTCCTCGGCCTAGTCTTGGACTTGGGCATGGGCTTAGGTTTAGGCTTAGGCTTTCAGGCTTGGGACTAGGGGAGGATTGGGCTTAGGCTTGGCTTTTGGCTTAGGCTTAGGCTTAGGCTTAGGTTTAGGCTTAAGTTTTTAGGCTTCGGATTAGGTCAGGCTTGGGCTTAGGCTTAGGCTTGGCTTAGGCTTGGACTTAAGCTTGGGGTTCGGTCTAGGTTTGCGCATTAGGCTCAGGCTTAGCTTTTGGCTCCGGGCTTCGGCCTAGGCTTAGACTTTGAGTCAAACATCCCCCCGCGATAATGCAAAAGTACTGGCTTACAAAACATAGACTTAGCTTAGCTTCCGTTCATACGTGGGCTTGGACTTAGCCGATTCGTAAGCTTCGGCTTAGACTCGAAGCTTGGCTCCAGAGAAGGTTCCTTTTTAGCACGCTGGATCGCGAAATTTCCTCAAGAATCTCTGCTACCCCGCCCTTTCCGGACCAAGAAATTAAAGCCGTTACCCCTAGCTACCGTATCCCCTTCCTGTCCTCCGCAATAATAGCCCCTTTCCCAACGGCTATAAATCCCGGCGCGTCATCTGCCACCGGGGGATGTGCAGGGGATTGTCGTGGAGGGGCTGCCACCTACGCTCTAGAAGAGTGACAGTCCTTCTTGAAATCTCTCGCCCTTTCTTCCGCTTTTTTGGGGTGCAATCCACCAAAAAAGGCGAATTTTACGAGCACTGCCCCGGAGACCCTTCGAGATCTCGGATTCTCGACTCGATATTTTGCCCACCCACGTTTATTAGTGGCTATGGGAGTTTTTTGGGTGCTAGCAGAGATATCTCTTTGCGGAAAAGCAGAGTAAGGTGAGGCTAGCAGAGATTGTTGAGGAAGAGGAGAGGGCAGGCTAGCAGAGATTGTTGAGGAAGAGGAGATGGTAGGCTAGCAGTGAGATTGTTGAGGAAGAGGAGAGGGCAGGCTAGCAGAAAGATTGTTGAGTGAAGAGGAGAGGGTAGGACTAGCAGAGATTGTTGCGAAAAGCAGAGGGCAGAGGTCACTGAGGAAGAGGGAGAGGGCAGGATGAAGCAGAGATTGTTGAGGAAGAGGAGAGGGCAGGCATAAAGCAGAGATTGTTGAGGAAGAGGAGAGGGCAGTATTAAGGCAGAGATTGTTGAGGAAGAGGAGAGGGTAAGGTGGTTAGTAGAGATTAAGCTAGTGAAAGCAGAGGGCAGGGAGGTCACTGGAGGAAGAGGAGAGGGCAGGCTAGCTGAGATTGTTGAGGAAGAGGGAGAGGCAGGCTAGCAGGAGATTGTTGAGGGAAGAGGGAGAGGGTAGGCTAGCTGAGATTGTTGGTGAAAAGAGAGGGCAGAGGTCAATGAGGAAGAGGAGAGGGTAGGTTAGCAGAGATTGTTGAAAGAAGGAATATAGGAATTGTTGAGGAAGAGGAGAGGGTAGGCTAGCAGAGATTGCTGAGAGAGAGGAGAGGCAAGCTAGCAGAGATTGTTGAGGAAGAGGAGAGGGCATATTAGCAGAGATTGTTGAGGAAGAGGTAGAAGGTAGACAAGTAGGCTATAGAGATTAAGTTGGAGGAAGAGGAGAAAGTGGTGACGAGCAGAGATTTTTGAGGAAGAGGATAGGGCAGGCTAGCGGTAAACTTTGAGGAATTTGGAATTCGGATCTTTCGCATTATCGGGGGGCTGGGCTTTTTCATAATGGTCCTATTTTTTATACAAATAGAAAAGGCGCTTTTTCTACTTTTAACACTGCTTTTCTATTCTTAAGTGCAAAAACATTACAGACCGGGAAATACAAAATATTGATTTTTCGACAAAAAAAAATGCCGATTTCCGACCAAAATATCTAATTTTTACATTAATAAATTTTTTTGACCACTTTTGATTTGAAATATAACCAAATCTCACCAAAAACAATATTAAAATATCTAATGCAACTTTCCAAGGCAATTTTGGACTTATTCAAAAATGAGGTTCCCCACCCCGTTAATGCCACAGCCCCGGAATTTCTTTCTCGGGCAAGCTAGCAGCGATCTTTAAGGATCGTATTTTCCGTGTTTTCGAACCCCCCCATGTCTGCAACGACAAAATCAAATTAGATTCCCCGTAAAAGCCCATTAGGCAGGGTCGGGTTCTTGAACTTTCGAGACCTCCCAAAAATTTTCCAGGGGTCCAATTTTTCCGGGGGCCCAGTCGTGACTAGGGGTGGCCCTGAGGTTGGTGGGGCCCACCATGGGCCCTTCTCAGGTCTTTTAATCCGGTTATGGCGCTCCTAATTTGTTTGGGGCCCATCGGGGGCGGTGGGTGGGGCCCAGGTTTTGGGACCATTGCCACGGAGTTGGGTAGACTAGCAGAGGTTTTTGGGAAGGTAATTGCTGTTTTTCGTTTCTGGTCTTTCCGGGAACATTATTAATGTGTTTTAATAGATTTCCATCACCAAAACGGTTGAAACATATTTTCGCAGTTTTGAAAAAAGGTTAGATTTGGACGATTGGTAAATTTAGGCTGGGGACGCCGAAATCACGACATGCAATATCCCGACAGCCATAATCCCAAAAAAGGCAAAAATCCCGACAGCCTAATCCCGACATCCATAATCCCGAAAAGACAAAATCTCGACGGGCCACAACCTGGTTCTGAAAATCCCGACCTGAATACCGACAGCCAAAGTCCCGACAGACCAAAATCCCGTTAGGCCAAAATCCCGACATGAAAAATACCCTTTTCGAAGGAAATGAGATTGAAACTAGCCTTAAGATGACATCGGGATTTTGGCCTGTGGGATTTTGTCTATTCGGGATCTTGGCTCTCGCAATTTTGGCTTGTCGGGATTATTGCTGTCGGGGTTGTGGGTTGTCAGGATTTCAGGGTCACGAGTTTCACTTGGGTCGGCATTTCGGCCTGTCGGGATTTTATGTCGGGGGTTTCATTGTCGGGATCTTGACCTGACGAGCTTCTTGCCGGCGGGATTTTGTCTTTCCGGGATTATGGTTTCGGGATTTCTGCCCGGCGGGATTCTGACTGGAACCCTTCTCAAATCGCCTGTGCTAGCCTGCCCAAAGGTATGCGGGATTCCAGTTAACCTCCTTCCCAAGTTCCGCCCATATCCTGGGGGAGGCCATAATTCAAGGGGGCTGGGCCCTAATTTGACAGCTTCGGCCAGTCGGCCACAGCTTTTCCCGGCCGCCCCAAACGAATTGCTCTATCAATCACGCGAGGGGTGAAGAAATGGGGGGAAGAAGTGCCAGACGATTGAAGGCATTTTTTCTCTAATTTCTCTCTCTCTCTCCCGCCTCTTTCTTTTTTTCATTAAGCTTTGTATCGATGTTTTAAAGGAGCCCGTAAGGCGGGAGCCTTGACTTTCGTAAAAACTCTGCTAGCCTGCCCTCTTCTCTTCCTCAACAATCTCTGCTAGCCTGCCCTCTCCTATTCCTCAACAGCCCTCCTGGCCTGCCCTTTCCTCTTCCTCAACAATCTCTGCTAGCCTGCCCTCTCCTCTTCCTCAACAATCTCTGCTAGCCTGCCCTCTCCTCTTCCTCAACAAATCTCTGCTAGCCTGCCCCTCTCCTCTTCCTCAACAATC